TTATCATTTCACTCAGCACAAAAAGCAGAGCTCATGGCTTTAATACGCGCCTGTGAGCTACATTTGGATAAGCATGTGACGATTTACACAGACAGCCGCTATGCATTTGGCGTTGTGCATGACTTTGGCACATTGTGGAGACAGAGAGGATTTAGATCTGCTGATGGAAAATAAATTGCTAAATTCTGATTTTGTTCAAAGACTTTTTCAGGCTATACAGCTACCATCGGCCGTTGCAGTTGTAAAAACGAAAGGACACAGTACAGCTGACACAGACGAAGCAACAGGTAATGCCTTAGCAGACGTGACAGCCAAGGCTGCAGCTGCATCACAGCTCCCACCTCCGCAGGAAGTATTATCTGTGCCCCTACAGCTGCCACTTGTTACACTCCCAGACTATTTAGACACAAATGTTGATTTAAAATTTATACAAGAGCAAGCCTCTGCATGTGATTACACCTATTGGGAGAATAATGACTGTACCTTAGATGACAGAGATGGCCTATACAAAATCTTAAGGGTTTGATTGCCCTCCCATATTCCCTGATGCCAGTCCTTGCCCGACATTTTCACTGTGTGAGTCATGTCGGACAAAGAGGGGTAATAGGGGCAATAAAATCAAGATTTGTAATTGAGAAAACATCACATGCAGTAAAAAGCATATTAGCAACCTGTCTAACATGTGCACGAACTAATGTAGGTAGCTCAAAAGCGAAACATCAGCATTTACCACAACCAGATTTTCCATTTCATACATTACAAATTGATTTCACACATATGCCAGCACAAGGAAGCATCAAGTACTTACTGGTAATAGTGGATCAATTTAGTAAATGAGTAGAAGCTTATCCAACCTCAAAAGAAACTGCAGAAGTAGTCTGTCAAAAGTTGAGCAATGAAATAATACCCAGATTCGGAATACCTCACCAGATTAATAGTGATAGAGGATCTTCATTCACATTAGAAGTAATTCAAAAGTGTGCTAAAACTTTAATGACCTGGGTCAAATTACTTACTCAAGTCCTGTGTGAGATTAGAATGACTCAATCTGCAGTAACCAAATTATTTCCATTTGAAATAAGACTATTTCCAACACCATGGTCAGCTTCCAGAGGGGCACCGCTAGTAGAAGGTGATGTATATTGCATTGTCCACTGATGTTCACAACCTGGTAGAAAAACTGAATAATAACTATCAGAAAGTTTGTCTCTCTCAGCTTTTCCCCTCCACAGTTCCACCAGTGGAGACAAGGAGATGCATGTTGGAGAAGCCACTAAAACCAAGGACACTCTGGGAGGCCGCACGTGTTCCAGCCCCAGACTGTACTGGCAGTGACGAAGAACCAGCATCCTCACAGACGGACAACCTCAGTGGATTCATGCCAGCAGGGTTAAGACCAGCTCAATCGGACCATCTCAGGCGTTGGATCAAGCAGACGACATCTCCGGCGAGCCAGCGCCCGGATCCAGAGCAAATAAACACACACGGGTAGATGACATCTCAGGCGAGCCAGCGCCCGGATCCAATGTACATACACACACGCAATCACTGATTAACACACAACGTCTGAAAGAACAACAACAAGGTACTCAAACATCCAGCAGGAACAGAAAGCCAAAAGTACCACATGATGTCTAACCTGATAAAGCCAGACTCATTTCATCCTGATAATGGAGAAAATGAAATGCCCATTGTCATCACACGACGCTTATTCTGTGTCTCTCGAACCTGGGACCAGGCCAGGAGACAACTGAAGAACTGTTTTTCTTATATACTTTCTTATATATTTAGGTTATTTATCATATCTATCGCATTAACCTTAGGATTTCTCTTTGCTATTTTGTATTGTAAACTGCAACCATGTTCACATTTCTGCAGGTCATATTTTGCTGACTATACCTCATGCTCCATTTTGCAAGACACCTACTTAATGCACTCCTCACGCTCCCTAAAATCAGTAAATAGCAACTAATAAACCATCTTATGCGCCCTCTAGAACAGGAGCTAACGCCTGGTATGAAAATGCCAGAACAGCCGCTCGTGATTTAGGAAACAGTAACTGTTATGTCTGTTCTAAGGCTAATCCAGAACAGGTAATAGTAGGATACCCCATATCCGGTTTCCCCCTCACTGAGGGACTAGAGGAAATCGGCGGAGATAATGCTCTCCTTAAAGACACTTTACAGTTGACTCTGAGCCCTCTCGACTGCTTACTTAGACACACACACACACCAACTAACCCTGAGACTCCATTAGGCGAATTATTGAAGTTATCTAATGACACCGCAGGGACCTGCGCCCCAATGAAACGCCCTAAGAATAGGTTAAAGCCCTCACTGCCCTTAGGACAGATCCCTTTCCATTTTAATACTAGTATGATATGTCTGCGCAGACTAAAGTTAACTGGCCCAGACACACACATAGATTATACAAAGGATAACTATACATTCTTCTCTGACTCCCCAGGTGCACGCTGTAATGAGACATGGCTAGCTGTCTCTGTGGCTGAAGTTGTATCATATCTGGAGGAACACACACACAGTTCAAGTTCGAGCGGAGAATCGATCATTGTTCCCCCAGAGGGTGTCTTAAATGATACTGACTGGGGGGAGTTAGTTAAATCACACATGGTCACGCGCCTAACTAGAGCAATCCCACATGCTTATTGGATGTGCAATAATACTCTTAGATTAGCTTTACCTGTTAATTGGACCGGTACCTGTGGTCTAGTAACCGTTGATGTATGCTGTACTTTCATTCCCAATAACACCGCTCCTAACGGTTCATTCACACAAGCTATGAATAAACTTGAAGCATTGCAGATAGAACTAACTGCCAATACAGGTCACGGTCAGTGGCTACATAAGTGGCTACAGGACACGTTTGGAAGATGGAAGGAACTAATTGTAGCCTTTGTAACCGTTGCAGCATGTTTTTGATGATTATTGTCTGTTGTGTGGTACCCTGTGTACGTTCAATGATAACCCGTATAGCTACTAGTACAGCTACTTCAATGTATTTGCAATTGGCACAAATTGACCCAGATTATGTGTCAGATGTCATCAATGATGATCCTGATGTATGTATTGAGCATTAGATTGTAAATTACTCGATTGTCTAAGAAAAGAATGACGTTTTCTTCTTTTTCTTTTCTTCTTTTTAAAATTTTGATATTAAGCTTCCTCGAAGGACTAGTTACATTTATGATTTGTTTCACATTTATGATTTGTCTTTATATTATGTTATTACATTCTGTCTTTATACTATGTTATCATTTCATGATAAAAGGAGAGAACTGTTGTGATATTTTGATACCACGGTAGCATTTACAGGATATTGTTTTATACAGGAAAACTGTTACTCAATAAGGCCCATCTACTAGTTGTTTTTCTCTTTCTCTGTGACCCAAGAATTAAGGTGTAAGACTCACAGGCTGGTACCCAAGGTCGAAAACACCACAGAGATGAGACCACTTCCTTACTCCCATCCTCCCTTTTTCTTTATCTCCTGGAAAAGGCTCGTTAAAGGCTAGGTGGTTTGTTTCAGAATTCACTAATGAAAGAACTCTGTATTTTATGTCTAGGAGTGTATTTTGCTGGGATGATCATAAATTATAGCTGAACTGATAAACTACACAAGGGATACTTTGCTCAGAAGGCAGGAAGACGTTTCCTTATTTAGTCTGTACCGGTTTGAACTGGGAAAGCTGACACACGAACCTTTTTTCCTCTATATAAACTGCTGTGTATCAAATAAACCTTTGAGTTGATTTGGGAAGGCAACCTGAAGCAGTCTGTGTTTCCTTGTTCTCCCAAGCTGCTCCCGGCGCTGTAACTAACCCAGCTGAACGGCATACCTGAGTGTTACTTTAAATAATTAGGAATCTCAGAAGGAAAGGACAGAACTCTGCTTATCGCTCACGCCACGGAGGAAACCCGGGACGGCAATTTCCTTCAATATGTATTTACGAGTTACACCAGTACTTGTGATTTGTGGATTTCTTTGTTAGTATCCAGATGTATGTAACACTAATAACACAACAGCTGACCTCTGTGAGAGCAGAGTTGAGGTGGCTGCTCTGCACTGTGTTGGCACATGAAGAAGATAACACTGGAGGGATTACATCCATACACTCAGTTACAGCACTTTCAAAAAGACATCTCCTATAATGTATTCCCCGCTGCAGTGTAATTCATTATTGTAAATTTAAAGTTATTAAGAAGTGATTATGCAAAAGACGGTTTTCAGGAAACACTGTTAAATATTCAGTTTCTATCAGAACGAGAGCCAGAGTGTGATCGGAGAGGTGGGTGGGCTAATTTACACTTTGAGAGAGGCCAAGTGAGTCACAGTATGTTCAACACTGAGGCTGTCATTTTCAGCATCTACGTGTAACTATTTTATCTGAACTGTTCACTAAATTAGATAAAAGACAGATGGAAGAGTAAAAGAGTTCCTCTGTGTCCACTGTGAGTGTCCATCATTGAACAGCGCGGCGGCTGACCACACCAGCTGTCTGCCACTTACAGTGTAGTTTTGACCTTAATAGGTCACATGACAGGGTGAGGCAAGGTCTCACAGTGTTTTCACCTGAAACCTCAGGTGATCATTACAGACGCCTTTTTCACTCCTTGGCTCAAGTGACGAGGCTCGTGATTAATAGTGGGCCAACAATCCTCTTAAGAGACAACCCCCACTAGGGTTTTTTTTTTAAATTTAATTTGTATTTACATTTTTTTAATCATCTATAAGAAGATGTACATTGAAAAAAATGTGTGAATAATTTCATTTTTTAACTTATTAAATGCATCTAAGACTAAATCAGTCAGTGAATGTATTACAGCTCTGAGACTTCAGCCCTAGGATGTCAACATCATGATAGTGCTGCTTTGCTGGGACCTCAGCAGCTCATTAAGATCCACTTAGTGCTGACGTCACTAAGCTGCTTACTGCTGCAGGTGAATGGAGGAAGGAACTGAAAAAGATTTGTTTACACTGATGTAGGACTCAAGTCTAGCAGGCAACATCATGAGCACTGTTTTATTGTAGATAGTAAATTACCTGACTGATTACTGACAATCCGGATTTTGGATTTTGTGGGCTGCCATGGAGTGCAGTGGCAAGGTAACTGCTGCTTGATTCATACAGGATGAAGATTTTGTTTGTTGAAAAAAGAAATAGGTCAGGAATACAATTAAAAGGCTCCAGTGTTTAATCCATTATGTGGCAGCACGTTTTCACAGCAGACACCATGTCATAGTGAGTGAAACAATAACTTCAGATATAAAAATTAGGATGTTTTAATGGTGTGTTTGACCTAAATTCAGCAGCACAGTCAGGACTTCTACTCCTTTTCTTACAGCTGTAAGCAGTGCTTCCATTTTCTTATTACACCGTGAGATAGTAGCAACAGAAGATAAATTTAGTCTTTGTCTTACAAATGTTTTGCATAAACACTGTTTTACAACAAGTGATTCAAAATTTATGTAAAATAATAAAGCTTGATCAGTCTTAAACTGTCAGTAAAGAAGTAAAATTGATGCATTAATATGTGGATTAGTAGTTTTTTAAGATGGTCTGCGTTTAAGGATTTAAGTACTTTTATACATCATGCCATGCAATTTTGTGTAAAGTTGTGTTACACATCATAGGATCTGTGTACATTCGTACTATATATGCTGATGTATTTGACTGTACAGCAGAAGCAGCACTCCTGACATGACAGGGATTAGACTTTAATTTTATTACAGGCTTAGCTATAATAATAGTTAGCTTAGAAGCTATAGCCCTGCAAATGAAAGAGCAAGCACACAAATAAATATAAACTATATAAAACAAACTTTATTATAATTACTATTATTATTAATTTCTTTCCTTCACCCTGTCACATACACAATGATACAATGCTTTCATCTACACTGATAACACTTTGAAAACAAGTCAAGAAACACAGGATGTCATATTGTTAAATGGAAGGTAAAAGTATCAGCCTACAGATGGATGAGATCAGTGAAAACAAATCAAAGTGAAAAGAACAGGGCACCACTGAAGTCACTGGTTGGTGGGAGACATTACTGGCCTTCTGGTGGTCATTTTGTAGGACTATGGCAGCACTCACCCAGTTCCTGCTTGCAGAAAGAGGCAGATACCAGTACTGCTGATGGGTTTTTACCTTCTATGAACATGTCCAGCTCCCCTGTATGCTCTTGAGTCTGTTCAGGGAGACACAGCAAACCTTGTTTGCCTTGTTTGTACCATCCTGGAGGAGGTGAACTGCCTGTTCAACCTCTGTGGGGTCCAGGTTTCCTCATGCTACCAGTGGTTGCACTGACCCTAGGCAAATGTAAAAATAGTCAGAGAATATGAAGAGGGACAGATGTATTCATATTTTGGGAGTTGTCTCAGTGCTGCCCCTCTAGTGCACCTGTTGTTAATTTCATTAACACCAAAGTAGCTGAACCTGATTAACCACCCCCTCTGCTACTTAACTAACCAGATCAATAGATATATTTACACATGCCAATCGATGCATCAGGGATTAATCCATCAACGATAAACATCCTGCATCCATCCATTCAAAGTTTACACAATATTTCAATTAGAACTACAGTGCAATTCTTCTGCATTTCTTCTAATAATCCAAAATAACCTCTTTGTTCACCTAAAAAGTCTTGAAGCCATGTCTGAGTGTCAGCATCTAACTGCAATACTTCAGTGTCAGCATCTAACTGCAATACTTCAGTCCTCCATGAAACACTTCTGTCACTCTGATGTGCTCTCTGGGGTTTGATCAGCTCACTAAGTTTGTCCATTTTGTTAAATATACACCTCACATTCCTGATGATGCTTGCTGAAACAGCTCGATTGAAATCTCATTGTTTGCTATGAAGTTCCTCCAGGATTACGATCCTCATTCTGGGTACCACAACAGTCAGAGCAATCAGCTGTTGCTGATTTCTGTTTCCAAGAGAGTACGGGAAAACGAGTAGCAGCCTGGTAAAACCTGACTTAACCAGTCAAGGTAGTGCAGGTTTTCTTCTAAATGGAAGATTGATGCTTTGATCCCTTGCTCCTGGGCAAGATACTGTACACCATGTTTCCACAATCCATCCATCAGTGAGTGTGTGAATCTTAGACAAAGCAAAGGCATATATTGAAAATGCTGTGCTGATGCATGAACGAGTTTTGCAGCTAGAGAAATAAAGTGCTACATAACTACAAAATATCAAAAGAAAATGTAACTTTTGCATGAATCAAAATGATCGAGAGAAATGAATGTTATCAAGTGATAAAGTTAATAGAATAAAAAATAGCTTCAAGAGAGCTCCAAATTTGATCTTTTTACCCACACACAGTTTTAGGAGGGTTGTAACATGATTAAAAAGGGATTTTTCCTCTTCCAACAGTAATTATCAATCTTCTCTTTCTGTCTTATAACAATAGGTGACGCCCCAGCTGATGATCACAGTAGGGACAGCTGTGATTGGCTCGCTTCAGTTTGGCTACAATACTGGCGTCATCAATGCTCCTCAAAATGTGAGAGTTTCATTGTCTGAATGAAGAATGTAAAGGAGGAAAAAATATACATATTTGAAAATGTGTGAGAACAAATGGAATTAGAATAGCGATACAGTAGTTAGTTTCACTGATGAAGATCAACTCTTTTTTTTTTTCAGTTAAGGTTTTGAAGCTGAATCCATGTGGTATATTTACTGTTTTCACATGTATTAATTTATGTGGCTTAAACATTCCCATCTCAAACAAACGCGTCAGTGTTAAATGCTGTTAACACATAGTGAAAAGCTCCGATGACTTAAAAGAACATTTTTATGAAATCACAATGCCAGTTGCACTCCACACGATGACTTCAACAGGGTTAGCAGTTGTCCTCTGAGACCCACCACCCTGCAAGTAGATAGCCAGTGGTCACTCCAGCCTCTGCAACTCTGCTGCCTTTAAGCTGTGGCATATCATAGGCCCTGGCCTGCACAGAGAGACAAAATAACACCTCCACTATATAATTCATAGCACAAAACCCATCCATCCCAAATATATCCGGTTTCATCACATTACATACCTGCACAGAGAGACAAAATAACACAGCAGTGTTTGTAGTGTGGGCTATAAGTAGACCAGTGTATCAGTGCAATCAATTACACCTGCCTAGTAGTCCAACCACATTACAGCCATTGGCTCACCAGAAATGTGACACACACACACACACACACACATACTCCCAACCCAGTGCAACTTCACACAATAATATGGAGATGAATTAAAACAGGCACATTAGTGTACCATGTTACACTCTGGGTCTCTCCTGAATGACTGAACTTCTCACCTTATCTCTAACGCTGATTGCAGAAAACTAATTTTTACCGTGTGTATCTGCAATCCGATTCTATCGGTCATTACCCAGAGCTTGATGCCATCAGTGAGAGTAGGGACATAGAGTGACCGGTAAATTGACAGCTTTACTCAGCGCTCTTCATCTCAACAGACCAGTAAAGCACTCAAATCTGCAGTGGTGTGGAATCTCATTACCTCCCCCCTTACATGTGACCAAGAACCAGAAATACTTAAACTTCTCCACATGAGCCAACAACTTCCCGACCCTGAGTGGGCATTCTACCCTTTTCCTGCTGAGAACCATGGAGTCACATTTGGAGGTGCTGATTCTCTTTCCCGCTGCTTCAAGCCACCACCTGGTTAAGGCAAGAGAACCATGTCATCTACAAAAAGCAGCCACAAGATCCTGTAGAAGGCGTCTACCAAAGTAGAAGCCTGCTGCCACTTGGCTCCACCTACAAATTCTACCCATAAAAATTCTGAACAAAGTGGTGACAAAGACTCACTGTAAACAAGTCAGACTGAATTCAATCCCAATCATATAGCACCAAAACACAACAGTTGCCCCAAGGTGCTTCATATTGTAAGGTGAAGACCCTACATTAATACAGAGAAAACTGCAATGGTCAGTAAACCCACTTTGAGCAAGCACTTGGCAACAGTGGGAAGGAAAAACGCTCTTTAACAGGAAGAATTCTACAACTGTGCAAGAAAGACAGATAATAAATATAACTAAGGATTAAATGAAGAAGAAGAAGTATTCCTTCCATACCACTGATTTTACTGTACCACTGATCCTCGGTTGAAGTCCGCGGTGCCTATACTATACAGTGTGAGTAGAGCACCCCTCCTGAGTTACCTGACATTTAGCCAGAACTGCTTTAACCTCCTAGAACCCTGCGTCCACATATTTGGACATCACATTTTGGGTTATTTAGACCAAAATACTCAATTTTGCTCTACAATGGCCTGATATCCACTTGCAAGGACATTATACTGCCACTGTTCTATCGAAATTTTAAACGAATATCCTCATTTGTGGCTCTCATTTTTCTTAGAAACAAAAATCAGGTAAAAAAAAAAAAAATCTGGTAATTCTTTGTTTTTACATTTATCGGGCCCCAATATGCCCAAATATCAAAAAGAAATTAAAAATGCATGCTGTGGAAGACTTTGGGTCTTAGGAGGTTAAGGCTGAAGAAAAATCATCTTTAAATTGTCACTGGGTCCCAGTGTTTGTGAGTTTCTTTGTATTTTGTTATTCATTTGTGTTCTTCATTTCAGCTTATCTAGCTAAATTCTGCCACACCTAGGTTACAGTTCATGGTTTATCAGGTTCCCCTTGTGGCTCACCCCTGTGTTTTAGTCTCCCTTATTGGTTAGTGTATCTAATCTGTCATGTCATGTCTGCGTCTTTTTATGGTTCCTGTTTTACTTTGAGGGGGTCTTGGGGTCCATGTTCATTGTTTTAGTTTCACTTCCACTGTGGCATCATTAGGTTCATTCTTGTCAGCTGTTTTTCCATGTGCCTCCATTTCCCCTAATAACCTTATGTGTGTGTTTAAGTCCTCTGTCTTCCTTTGTTCTGTATCTGTGTTCTGCGTTACCTCCATCATGTCACAGTTCTCATAGTCATTATCTTGTTTCAGTCATAGTAAAAGTCATGGTTTTCCCAGTGTGTGTTTAGATTTTCCCTCATTTTGTTTGTTGTGTTTTATGTTTGTGAGTTTCAACCCCAAAATAAAGGCTCGCTTTTTGTTCAAGTTTAGTTTTGGCTCCTCGTCTGCGTCTGCACCTAGTCCTCCTCACACACTCCACACGGTCTGCCTTTGCAGGCCGTGACATGAATGTAGCTACATACATGCGCATGAGGTATCATGTTCACCAAGTTAGAATGGTATCAGAAGGATAATGACTGACTGTATTACTCTTACATATGACCTGTTGATGAAAGTTCTGGAGAGAAAGTTAAAGACCACCCAAGTCATGAAGTCTGAAAGAGTTGGAAATATTAGACTCTGGAAATTAAATGACAACGCAGTGTATCCAATATTTGTCTTCGTATTTCACCCTGAGCGTAAAGTATTAAATCACCAAGGGTCACTAAGCAAAAGTTGGGATTAAAGTGCTGTTGTGTACATAAGAGCTACTTCACTTTAATCTGTCTTTATGTGTCTTACAATAAGACTGTTACTGCGTACTGTTTTATGTTTTAGATCATTGAGAGCTTCTACAATGAGACATGGAGCAGCAGGTTTTCAGAGCCCATCCCTCAGACCACTCTAACAGCTCTGTGGTCTCTCTCTGTGGCCATCTTCTCTGTGGGAGGGATGTTTGGCTCCTTTTCTGTCGGTCTCTTTGTTAACCGCTTTGGCAGGTATGACTCTCTCCGTTGCTAACAAGATCTATATACATCCATATTTTTTTTTAAATTAAATTTAAAAATTAAATTTTTTTTAAAGTTTTCTTATTAAAGAGCATTTATGGTAAATTATTTTTTAAAGGAGGAACTCCATGCTCATGGCCAATGTGCTTGCATTCATTTCTGCAATATTTATGGGATTCTCCAAATTGGCTGCTTCCTTTGAGATGCTCGTTATTGGACGTTTAATTGTGGGTGTCTATTCTGGCCTGTCCACTGGTTTTGTGCCCATGTACATTGAGGAAATCTCACCCACATCTCTCCGGGGAGCATTAGGAACGCTGCATCAGCTTGGTGTAGTGATCGGCATTCTCATGGCACAGGTGAGAGCCTTACATTTTTAACCACAAATACTCCCACCATTTACCAGTTTGAGTAACAGTTGATTAATAATGCGTATAATCACTTTCATAAGTTCCTAGATAATGACATATTTTTTGTGATTTTTGCCTCTGTACACTCTGCACACCACCACAGGAGAGTCCAGTGTTACAGGGCTATACTCTGCTCACATTCAGCTAAATGCTGTAAAAATATTCATTATCCACGTGCATTGTTTCGCAGTGTAGACCGCAAAAGCCACCCAAGTGTTATTCAAGGCAAAGAAACTGTATTCGCTATGACCAAGAGAGTCACCTGATTTCAATCCAATAGATTGTGCTTTCTAGTTAATGAAGACAAAATGAAGGCACAGATGCCAACAAACAAGGCAGCTGCAGTGAAGGCCTGGCAACGCATTGACAACACTGCAGTTTCTACAGGATAAGACACAACTATACTGTAGATAATTTTAGTAACTTCCAGGTAAACAGTAGAACAGCACCACCAAGGTTGGAGATGGGACAATACTGGAAGAGCATATGGGAGAAGGACGCAACACATAGCAGCAATGCTCAGTGGCTAGTGGATCTAAGAGAAGACCACAGCAACCTCCCTGAACAGGGTCCAGTAACCATCACACTGGCAGACACCCAAGATTCTCCAATATGAAGAGTCAGACAGCACCAGGCCCCGACATAGTTCGCGCCTACTGGCTGAAGAAGCTGACTGCACTCCACAAGCGTCTGGCTGCAGAAATGAACCAGCTGCTAGTGGATGAGAGACACCCAGAATGGCTAACCGAAGGCCGGACAGTCCTGATCCTCAAATACCCCCAGAAGAAACCAGTCCCATCCAATTACCAGCCAATAATCTGCCTCAGTACCACATGGGGGTTCTTGTCAGGCATCATAGTGGCTAAGCTGGATAGGCACATGGGTCAATACATTAGCAGGGCAGAGAAAGGAATTGGTAAGAATACCAGAGGCACAAAATACCAGCTACTGGTAGACCGAGCAGTCAGCCAAGACTGCAAGACTGACCAACCTATGCACTGCCAGGATTGATTACAAGAAGCCCTATGACTCGATGCCCCATACCTGGATCCTGGAACTATACAAGATCAACAGGACCCTAAAAGCCTTCATCAGGAACTCAGTGGACAAGCAGAAGAAGACAGCTGTAGTGATAGACGTAGAGATACCAAATGACAGCAAGATTAAGAAGAAGGAACACAAGAAGCTTGAGAAGTACCAAGGGCTCAGAGAAGAGCTGGAGAAGATGTGGTCCCAGTGGTAATCAGAGCACTACATGCAGTCACTCCCGAGCTCGGCAAGTGGCTCCAGCAGATCCCAGGAACAACACTGGAGATCTCTATCCAGAAGAGCACAGACCCAGAAACAGCTAAGATACTGTGCAGGACCCTCAAGCTCCCCGGCCTCTCGTAGAGGACCCGAGTTTGAAGGATAGACCGCCCGCAGGGACGAGAGGGGAATTTAATTTTTAAAAAATATATAAATGCTGACACTTCAAGCATTTGATGTCGTTACTAATTTACTGTTGTGTATATTCCAAGTCTGAAAGGGGCTTTCAAATAAGGAGTCTATTGTATACATTGTTTAGATTTTTGGGCTTGAATCCATCATGGGGAATGCATCCCTATGGCCCCTCCTACTGGGTTTTACTCTGCTACCATCTGTGCTGCAATGTGTCCTGTTGCCTCTCTGTCCTGAGAGCCCCCGATACCTCCTCATCAACTGCAACGAGGAGAACAAAGCCCGCGGCGGTAAGATGAACACACTGTCATGAGAGACGACGAAAAAATCAAATGCAATCAAACAGGAACATTTGGGGATTATAGATTACAGTACAAAGAGGCAGGCATGTTCTCAAATGTCCTGACTCCCAATGTCTAAAACTAAAAATTGCTATTCATTAGAATAAACACAGAAGAATACACACATAGACACTCAAATACACAATAGAGACTCATTGTAAACAACACCTATATCTCAAGTTACACAAATAAATCTTTTATCCACACAATTTCTGCCAAAACCATCTAATATACTGCTAGACAGTTGTAACATAACATCATAGAAATAACTACTGTCTTCCAGTCCTAATTAAACTACGGGGTACTGATGACGTGAGTGAGGAAATGGAGGAGATGAAGGAGGAGAGCCAGCAGATGATGAAGGAAAAGAAGGTGACCATCCCTGAACTTTTCCGCTCCCCCGTGTACCGCCAGCCCATCTTTGTTGCCATCATGCTGCAGCTGTCACAGCAACTGTCTGGTATCAATGCTGTAAGTCAAATGAGCAAAAGAGAACTTGTGCATTCTATTGTAGTGAATGCCATCGAGTATAAAACAAAGGGTATAAGATAAAATGTTTTACATCTCTTAAGCTACATAGATTACAAATGACCTAAACAATAACTTTAACGACCATTAAGTAATGAGATCCTATTTAGTAACATGAACTACTGCTACTACTACTGTACTACTACTACTACTACTAAAATGATTAGTCATAACTCATGTTCTTGAAATCATTATTCATTAACAGTGCATTCGAGTTGAAGTGCAAGGTGTAGAGAAGAAATTCATGCACAGAAAGATATAAAGTTCAAGTATCGCACCTGTGTCTTGTGTCTGTCATCTTCTGTAGGTGTTCTACTACTCAACTATGATCTTTGAGCGAGCAGGCGTGTCCCAGCCTGTCTATGCAACTATCGGCACAGGAGTGGTCAACACTGCATTCACAGTTGTTTCTGTAAGTTGCAAAAGAACAAGTTGAAACAAAAAAATAAGCTCTATGTATATATACATATATAAATCCTATATATATCCTAGGAACAGCTAAAATACTGCACAAGCTCCCAGGCCTCTGGTAGAGGACCCAGGCCTTAAGGATAGACTGCCTACAGGGACGAGAGGGGAATTTTATATTCCAGAATGAGAGAATCTCGGTCGGAGGGTAGGCGGCTAACAGAGGTGTGCAACAGTATCATTAGAAAACAGGTCCTGTATGAATAAGATACATAACTGTACATAACTGAGGATCTATAAACTGCCAAACAAAATACCAGAGGTCAAAAGAATAAATAACCTGTCCTCCAAAGACCTATCCAGGGTACAGTCCCAGCTGCATGGGAACAATAGTACAAGAGCAGACCCATGAAGAGCTAATACTGAGCAATGTTGGAAAAACACACAGGAGGAAGGAATTCTCGTGGAAGACCTAAACCAATACCAGGTGGATAGCTGGGAAAAATGATTAAGGAAGAGAAAAGATTTTGGTATACCGCGGTGTTCTTTTTAGCCTCCAGAGCTGTAAACTGGCTACATTTATTAAATGTATCATTTATACTAAGGAAGGCTGAGTACCTAAACATGTAACACACTGAGCAGGAAAGTGCAGCTAGCTAGTTGGTTATGAACTAAGCTAAGCTGACAAATCCCTAAAGTCACAGTGAATGAATACTGTGAATATTAGATAGATTCAACAGAGAGTGTGCTTTGAATAAGGCACATGAAGATTAAACTATAATAATAACAATAATAATAAAAATACATGTTATTTAAAGGCGCCATCCTCCTGCAAGTCCACCACCCGCAGGAGGCGCCATAGGGGGTCGTGTGCATTGTGTGGTGGGCGGCGGCCAGGAGTGGAGGCCCTGGTGGACTGATCCAAGACTGGCATTTGGGACATGGAATGTCACCTCTCTGGTGGGGAAGGAGCCTGAGTTAGTCCGTGAGGTTGAATGTTCCTGGCTAGATATAGTCAGGCTCACCTCAACGCATGGCTTGGGCTCTGAAACCATTCCCCTGGTATTTTAATATCTCCTTGGCTTACTGCCTGTATGTTGGGGTTCCTCCCGGTGGATGAGGGGGTTTGTTCCCTGCACCTTTGGGTCGGGGAACAGGTCCTGACTGTCATCTGCGCTTATGCGCTGAGTGGCAGCTCAGAGTACCCAGCCTTTTTAGAGTCCCTGGGTGGGGTGCTGGAAGATGCTCCGCCTGTTGTCCTAATGGGGGACTTCAATGCTCACGTGGGTAACGACAGCGAGAACTGGAGGGGCGTGATCTGAACCCAAGTGATGTTTTGTTATTGCACTTCTGTGCAAACCACAGTTTGGCCATAACGAACACCATGTTCGAACATAAGAGTGTCCAAAGTGCACGTGGCACCAGGACGCTCTAGGCTGCAGGTTGATGATCGATTCTGTAATCATATCACCAGAGCTGCGGCCATATGTTCTCGACACTCGGGTAAAGAGAGGGGCTGATCTGTCAACTGAACACCACCTGGTGGTGAGTTGGATTAGACGACGGGGGAGAACACTGGACAGACCCGGTGCACCTAAACGTATAGTGAGGGTGTGCTGTGAACGCCTAGCGGGCTGTGCTAACTGTGCTGTGGCCGCAAGGTGGTTGGTGCCTGTCGTTGTAACCCCTGAACCAAATGGTGGACACCAGAGGTGAAGGGAGCCACGAGGCTGACGAAGGAGTCCTATTGGGCTTGGCTAGCCCAATAGGACAAGTGGAATGTGGCTCCGGCAGTGGCTGAAGCAAACCGTCAGGCGACTCAGGAGGCTGTATGCGGTACTGCGTATAGTGCTGGTGGAGCGCTACTGACTTCGACTGCGAAAATTGTTGGGCGGTGGAAGGACCTCCTCAATCCCACTGACATGTCTTACGAGGAGGAAGCAGAGTCTGGGGATGAGGGAGGTGACCTGCCAATTTTGGGGGGTGAGGTCACTGAGGCAGTTAAACAACTCCTTAGTGGCAGAGCCCCTGGTGTGCATGAGGTCCGCCCTGAGTTCCTGAAGGCTCTGAATGTTGTAGGGCTGTCCTGGCTGACACGCCCCTGCAATGTTGTGTAGAGGTCAGGGGCAGTACCCCTGGACTGCAGACCGGGGTGGTGGTCCCCATTTTTAAGAAGGGAAGAAGGGAACTGGAGATCAACAGATGGATTGGTGCTGCGGCTGCAGTGATGCAGATGCTGTACCGGTCTGTTGTGGTGAAGAGAGAGCTGAGCGTAAAAGCGAAGCCCTCAATTTACCGGTCGATCTACGCCCCTACCCTCACCTATGGTCAGGAGCTGTGGGTAGTGACCGAAAGAATGATATCGCGGATACAAGCAGCGGAAATGAGCTTATTCTGAAGGGTGGCTGACTTCTCCCTTAGGGATAGGGTGAGAAGTTCAGTCACCAGAGAGGGGCCCAGAGTAGAGCCGCTGCTCCTCCACATTGAAAGAAGCCAGTTGAGGTGGTTCAGGCATCTGACAAGGATGCCTCCTGGGCAATGTTTCCTCTAATTTAACTAACTCCCTGAGCGGTCCCTTGGACCACTGTGAGCAACATTAGACGTGTGCACTGTGGACACGCCGCATCGAATCCATCCAAGTTACATGGTTTATTAAAATAATCAAATTACAGCATTTACATTTATGTTAGACTACTTTTAATTAACTGCTTTAGTCCACTTACAATGAGAATTAAAAAAAAATCTTGTTCATGACCTGTGTAGTATGTTAACACTATTACAAGTAAAAATAACTTGAACTCCAATTTTGAAAACAAAACTTTCTTTCTTTCTTTCTTTCTTTCTTTCTTTCTTTCTTTCTTTCTTTCTTTCTTTCTTTCTTTCTTTCTTTATAAAGCTCTGACTTGTATTATGAGTCTGTGGTCTGGGAGAGAGTCCTGTAGCTCTCTGTCTGCAAAATACAGTATATTCAATTCAATTCAATTTTATTTATATAGCGCCAAATCACAACAAACGTCGCCTCAAGGCGCTTCATAGATACAGATATAATGAGCAATGCTGGGCAATTAATTATATAGTTACTTCTTCAAAAAAGTAACTGAGTTATGCAAACAACAAAGTTTTTTGCAGCAGTTTACCTAAAAATGCAGCCAAGGCGTTTTTTAAAATAAACATTTTAAACTATTTACAGAACAATCAGCTGTTCTGCATCAAATTTGATGCCACACAAATTATTTGTGCCACTCCAAAAATAATTTCTGTCCACTATGAGATAAAGGAGAACATCAAAAGCCTGATACCTGCAGGCCTGACAACAGGAGATGTATCACTCCTGTAACACCTGTAACATTCAGTAGTTGCCGTATTGTTCTGACACACACAACAAAACTATTTACTACACTACACACTAACTGCACAAGATTTTCCCTAAATGTCGCAAATCTCTCACATCTCAAAACACCGCAGTCACTCCTAAAACTTCCCCCTCCCTAAACAACTATGTGCCATGTTGCCATAACATTTTCTGATTGGTCGACATGGTACATTTTACGACCAATAGGAAAGGGTGGGGGTTTTTCTTGGATTTGGCTTTGACCGTTTCTTCCCGCAGTAAATATAAACAATGATAGTATTCAGGAAGAAAACCAAACATTGCATATATTTTTATCTTTGGTTTTACGTGGCCTATCAACACAATTTAAAAACTGGTATAAAGTCAACACATTTTCCGTCAATTGTTCCGTCTGTCCTGCTCACATCTCCAATAGTTGTACACGTTGTCATTTACGTGGCTTCACTCCACATCAGCCACGCCGCTTTGCTAGCTAAAGCACCGGTGTCGGCACATAAGGACGCTGTCATAGACGAAGTTGATTAGCTGCCTATATACGAATGTGAATCGCATAATTGGCTGGACTATGGGATAAGGTGACATCGTTCTAATCCCATACTGGAGCAGCCAGTCACTCACTGACTAACACTGCAAAAAAGAATTGTTAAAGTATTAATTTTAATTTCAATTCAGGTTAGATTTTCTGTGCGCAGAGACCGTGCCACCAGTGCGCAATTATGCATGCGCGCAGCTTAGAGGGAACATTGCTCCTGGGCGCCTCCTGGGTGCGGTGTTCCAGGCATGTCTCACCGGGACGGGACCCGGTGCACACCCAAGACACACTGGAGAGATTATATCTCTCGGCTGGCCAGGGAACACCTTAGTGCAGCGGTCCCCAACCTTTTTTGCGCCACGGACCGGTTTATGCCCGACAATATTTTCATGGACCGGCCTTAAGGTGTCGCGGATAAATACAACAAAATAAAACTAGTACCGGTACCGAAAAAAAAGAAAATTTATTCATAACACACGTGAAAAGACCCAGGAAAACAGAGTAAATGATAAAACGATAACAAAATAACGCTGAAAACCGATAAAAACCCTGAAAACTATACATTTCATACCTGAGCCTCAACTCTCGCGGCCCGGTACCAAACGACTCACGGACCGGTACCGGTCTGAGGCCCGGGGTTGGGGACCGCTGCCTTAGTGTTCCACCGGACAAGCTAGAGGAGGTGGCTGGGTTGAGGGAGGTCTGGGCTTCTCTACTTAGGCTGCTGCCCCGCGACCAAGCCCCGGATAAGTGGAAGAAGATTAATGGATGGATGGATGGATGGATTGATGGATGGATGGATAATATGAAATAAGATGTTATCTAAAAGTTTCAATGAAATGGGCTACACAGATAAACAACACAAAACACCACTGTGCATTGCAACAGGAACAGGAAGTGACACTGTGTCGCAGAGAGAGCCAACACCAAGTGAAACTACCCAATGAATAAGAGAAAGGAAATCTGATTTTATTAAATGAAATATGGCATCACAGAAGTTCTGGCACAATCTTGTGCTTTTAATGTGTAACATTATAACATATAATGGAGTCATTATATGCTGGAGTCAGTGTCCGATGACCTCGAGTCACTGAGCGCAGCACAGGCATGACATGTCCTATCTGTGGTTTGGTGAATTAAGGTTTGCGTGAAGCCCAAGTCCACTTGTGGCTCTCGTGAACCCCCTTGGCATCTTACTAGAACGCTATATATTCCTCTCAGCAACACAGAATACTGGACTGAACGTAGCATCTCAAGCTGGTGCTGGTTCACCACCACCTGCTCTGCTGCATAGAGGCTAGCTCTGCTACCATCTTTGCCAGTGCCTGGACTGGCTGCGTGGGTTGTGGGTACATCATGTTGCACTGAGTTTTATGAGTTTTAAGTTTTATTCCATATATTTTGGGGGATTTTTTAAGTACTGTTGAACAGTAGATGATTATATTACTGTTTTTTATGATGGTTTCCTTTGGGCATTTTAAATATTAAATTTTTTATTAATGGATTACAGTTATGATCCATTGATATTACCTCCACTGTGAATACTGGTATTATGTTTGGTTTATGTTGTCATTTTGTAACATCTGTATGTCTTGTAGTTGTTTGTGGTGGAGCGTATGGGCAGGAGACCCCTTCACCTCATTGGTCTGATGGGAATGGCCGTTTCAGCAGTTTTTCTAACCGTGGCCATGGCATTGTTGGTAAGTGTTTGTGGTCACCATTACTGAAAGCAGGCCTTTTGAATTAAAGGGTAGGAGTGCTACAATGTTACTGTAGATCAGGGGTCCCCAATCCCATACCACGAGGGCCGGTGTCCCTGCAGGTTTTAGATGTGTCCCTGATCCATCACAGCTGATTTAAAGGCTAAATTACCTCCTCAACATGTCTTGAAGTTCTCCAGAGGCCTGGTAATTAACTAACCATGTGATTCAGGTGTGTTGACCCAGGGTGAGATCTAAAACCTGCAGGGACACCGGCCCTCGTGGACTGGGGTTGGGGACCCCTGCTGTAGATCAAGAGTAATAAAAATCTGACCATGTAAAAAAATAGACCATGAAACTGATCATTTTCTGTGATATGCTTTGCTCTAAGGACCAGCTAAAGTGGATGTCTTACATTAGCATTGTGGCCATCTTCAGTTTTGTAGCCTTTTTTGAAATTGGCCCTGGCCCCATCCCATGGTTTATTGTGGCTGAACTCTTCAGCCAAGGGCCCCGTCCTGCTGCCATTGCAGTTGCTGGTTTCTCCAATTGGTCTGCCAACTTCTTAGTGGGGATGTGCTTCCAGTACATTGAGGTAAGACAGCTTTATTTAAAATTTGTTTGTTTGTTTTGGGGCTCCTATTTTCAGTTGTACAACTGAGTGCTTTTGCTCCATGGATTAGACAACAACAGATTCAGTTGGCTACAGGTATAATCCGGTGAACATAAAAACTCTGTAAATATGCACTCTAACAACAGAAGATCCAATCAGAATTCATAATTCAGTTTGAATTGACTGCCCTTAAAAGACAAAGAGCCAATTTTTTTGTTTAAAATAAATTTGGTATTCAAGCAATACACTCTCAGCACCGGTCTAGAAAGTCCTGTTCTGTGAGTGTCTTGCGGACCATTTGTATTTCAATTTCTATAGCTCCAATTCATACACACACACACACACACACACACACACACACACACACACACACACACACACACACACACACACACACACACACATACATACATAATATATATATATATATATATACATACATACATACATACATACATACATACATATTATATAATATATATATATATATATTATATATATATATATATATATATATAAATGTATAATGTATAATGTAATTATTAGCTTGTTGTCTGCAACAACAACAGAATTGAGCCTTTCCCTTTAATCCAGCAACTCTGTGGCCCCTACGTCTTCATCATCTTCACCATCTTGCTGCTCGGCTTCTTCGTCTTCACCTACTTCAAGGTTCCAGAAACTAAGGGCTGCACTTTTGATGAGATTGCAGCGGGCTTCCGCCAGACAGCAGGTCAGGGATCTAACAAGTACTCAGCCCCGGAAGAATTCAACACCCTGAGGGGGGATGACCCTGATCTTTGAAAGTTTGTTCATGTAGGGACCACTGTTGTCCATGTTTTAGATATTTCATCCATTAATGTTAGAGCCAGTAATCCACAGTGTAGGGGCTTTCACACAGAGTTACCATGGGCTTGATCTGTAGCACAGCAAACTGTTGGTCACTAGTAAAAATGACATCCCAGTAGGCATTCAAAATGAACCAAGTGTCATTTTGTAACAGAAAAAAGCCGGGTTAAGTATATGGAATCACTATATAGAACCCTCTCCTTATTTATTACAGGAAATAGAGTTTTGAACCTTTTTTTTCTTTTTGCCCACACGTCTCTTTCAGTTTTGGAGTTAATGATATAAAACATTAGATGGACTGTTTCATGTTTGATAGGTGACAGAAAATCTTGGTTGTGTGCTTTTTTATATACATTTGATTTTGTTTAATAATTAAGACTTTAGTCAAACGTAATATGTTAGAACTACAAATGTGTTTACATGTGTGTCAAACAGAGAAAATGAAACTTAACAAAGTTTAATAATTGATTTTTTTTGTCTTTCTGAGTTATTAAATTAATACCTATAAAATGGCACTGGATGTGATGTGACATACATGAAGCTTGACTTCTGCATTGTGTGGCCTCACTGCAAATGCATGTTAGTGTTTCGTCTCCCTGTACGCTCCCGATGTTCCCACTCTGCCTGCAGAATATCTTTGGAGAGTCTCCAATGCTTTTAAATGTTTTCCTTCAATTCAAGTAAAAAGCATAGACGAAGAATCTTGTTGAAAAGAAGTTAGTCTTCTTAGCCTTTGGTTTATATTGAAAAATGGATTTTACCCTCAACTATAATCTCTGGGAAACCTATCCAATTATTTGGTGCCTAAATCTAACCACACACATGTTGTTCAGCTCCATGATGACAAAGCTCTAACTATTCCAAACATTAATACTTTAATTAAACATTCAAAAAATAGAAGTGCTAGATCTCCATCACTCATTTTCCAATTCAGTCTTATTTATACAGTGCCAAATCACAGCAACAGTGATCTCAAGCCATTTTGTATCCTAAGGTAAAGACCCTTTATTAATACAGCCAGATGGCCACCTCTGTTCAAGCACCTTTGCAATAGTGGAAAGAAAATCTTCCTTTAAACTAGAAGAAACCTTTAGCTGAACCAGGGTTCAGGGACAGGGTGTCTGTCTCCCGAATCCAAACTGGAAGTTCGTTCCACAGAAGAGGGGGCTGAAAGCTTAAGACTCTGCCTCCCGTTCTGCTTTCAAATATTTAAATAATATCATTAAATATACCATACTAACGTTACAGGACCAAAACTTGTGTTTCAGTTTCTCTCCTCTATGTTAAGTACATTGCTCCCTTTATTTAGAAAATAGACATAACAGTGAAAACACCACTATTCTCATGCTAACACACGTTAGCATGTTGGACACACTGAGTGTGAAAGTCAAGCATGCTGTAGAGGTATTTTACAGTTGTCAGAGAAAACACTGCAAACATCAATGCGTGTGGGAAGGAAACTATTTACTGAGACCACTAATCTACATAAACACATTAAACATCTTTTTCAGCAACATTATCTTACCCATATCGTATATTTAGACATTCAAATAATATATTTGGCCCATTTAAATGTGTTTATTTTATTATAAGTGAACAAATAGACCTCAAGCATGAACTGTGAAAATGCCTGAATATAGGCCTTTTGTGTTAACCAAAGTCAAGTCACTGTCATTTATATAACATTACGTGTATAATTACATGGTTCACATGCTGCTCCAAGGCAGAGCTGAGCTCTCTGGAGCTGCACGGCTCCCCCTGCTGGTCCTTAGAGCTTCTAGGGGCAGGGGGCCAACCACAGCAGAAGTATACCTGATGGGACCTGTAGTTCTTTTGATGGGCCTGGACACGGTGATTAGAAACACTCATACTTGTTGAACAGGTTCAGTTAATGAAATACTGGGAGTACCAGGAATGGGTAGACTGTACAATTCACATTCATCTCTCATTATGACCACAGGGTATGTATCTGTACATGTCTGCATTTTACCCAACTCCTCAGCAAGTGGGCAAACGAAAACCAATTATTTTGTCCTTTTCTATCATGCTCAGCATCCTCATGCAAGGGCGATGTTGGTTTGTCTGTTTGGATTTGTTGAAAGCGTTACATTCAGTGTGTGTCACCTGTATGCAGTAGCGGTTTTTGATACGGGCGACACGGGCGGTTGCCCGGAGCGGCATCGTGGTGGGGGGCGGCATCACGGGCATCGGCAAAAAAAATAAATAACAAAATGCTCGTACTCATGCTGCCCCGACGTCAGCCAGCACATATTGGGAATGGTACAGGCACCAATCGGTTTTCTATTGCCCATTTGCTGGCAGTAAGGGCGCCCTCCGTTTGCGAGGTGCCTGCTGCTTGCGGCACAGGGAGGAGAGGGCGGGGCGGCGGGGGATTCTCTGACTGGCTGGAGCAGCGTCTAATAACCAACTCGCAAAGTAAACAAAATAAAAACAAAACAACAAACACGAAAACACCAGACATCATGATACAGACTTATAATTTGCTCGGTGCGCCTGCTCGCTGCTGAAGTCAAAGTAAACTTTATTGTCATCTCCGCTACATACAGTCCAGTATATAGAGAGACAAGACGACGAGGCTCCAATTACAGCAAGAAAACAATAAATATAAGAAGAGTAAGAAAATAAATATACACTTTAGGACTCGGGGTAAAGGGATCAATAACAATTTAAAATTTATAATTTACAGTTTGATGATTTAAGGTCTCACACACAACCCGTTGAAAGGGGAGGGGGGGGGGGGGGGGCTGCTTTCAAATAGAGCACATTTCATTCATAATGATGTAAATCCAAGCCCATTATGTATTCACGATTTGAATCCTGGGTTGTGTGAAATCCCAGAAATAAACCTTAGACAAAGTGAATCTGTGAACTAAGGTGTAGGTGTGTTAGGTTATGTTGTGGTGATCCTCGAGTTGGGGGATGGCTGTTCATGGAGTGTAAAATTAAAACCAATGGAAGATGGACAGGAAAAGTTCAAAGCCATCAGGTGCTCAGTTTAGAAAAAATAGAAGAGGAGGAGAAACGAGCAAAAGATACAGGTAAGCAGATGTGTCATTGGATTATGGCAGCTCATCCTGAAACAATCAGTCAGAATACTTTATTAATCCCTAAGGAAATTATGTGGGTTACAGTTGCACCAAGAAGAATTGGTAAAAATAGCAACAGTTACAGAATAAACTCCAAAAAAATACCTTATGTTACAGATTTTAATATTAATTAGTCATTGTTAATTGTTGATTTGTCCTGTTCTCATTGTATGACGAATTATGATGGCTTTTTGGTATCCGTTTGCATACAATGCATATCTGTCTCTCTTCATATGTGTATGTTTCTCTGGTGAAATACAGTATGGTTCCAACAACAGTTTTATGTTAATGTACAATCCTTAATAAGGTGTGTGTGTGTGTGTGTGTGTGTGTGTGTGTGTGGGGGGGGGGGGGGGGGGGGGGGGGGGAGCCAGAGGGAGTGTTCGCCCGGGGCGCCAAACAGGCTAGGACCGCCACTGCCTGTATGTTACTGACCAGTCAACATTTATATTTGCAATAGATTTTGAGTAATCACTAAAGATGGAACGTAGATTTAGAAACTACACTGCAAGCTAGTGCTGATTATTCTGACACCCATTCTAACATGTCATAAAAGCTTATACAGATACAAGAACCCAGAAAACTAACTTAAACTGGACTTTAAAAAAAAAAAAAAAAAACTCACTGGAAAATACATTTTGCAAAATGATAGAAATTTTAAACTTTAATTGCTTCTTCCATTACTAATATTTTTTGCAGAAATACAAACTATACTTTAAACGTGTCTTCTGCTTGCCTCAACATGATGTAGGTGATCTGGTCAATAAGCTGTGACATGTACATTTACACGTTGAATTACTCAATATGTGGAAAATCCCCACATGCCACTTGGCTGCTGGAGTGTCATGTACTGTATGACCTGGACTTTGAACTTGACGTTAGCACTAGCACCTAATAAAGCCACTTGTCACTACAGACCAGCGTCGATGCCCAGCTCCATACCTCCCACCCACACAGTTACTGGACAAGTTACGTAAGTGAAGGAAAAGTATTTAATAAGTATTATTAATCATGTACATAAGGCAGCAGGTGCTTTAAGTGTGACTCTTGTCATGACATCAAGTTCATCATAAGGTGTAAGATTTGCACACATCTTACATATATTTGATCACTACACTAGGTTCTCACCTATAATAACACATTAATGCTCATTCTTACATGTAGGCCATCTGAACTCTTTGTAAGAGTAAAAGTGAAATGTTCACAATTCATGTTCTGAGGCCATCGTTTGGAGGTTTAGTTGTTTAGCACAAGTTTCCCTTTGAACAAATGATCAGCTCCACATACGTAAAAACAAAACAGGTTAATCTGCCTGACAGTGACATTACTCATCAGGAGCCAACATGACCGCACAATTTCATTGATCATTGTTTCCTATTCACTCAAAGGTTTGAAAAATCAATAAAAACATCTTTACAGTTTGATATTCATACTCTGTAACGTTAATGGAATTTTTAAAAAAAAAAAAACTCAACTGTTCTTAGTGTTTTTTTTTTTTTTTTTAAAAAAAAAAAAAAAAAAGACTTTATTCAGACAGTTTCTTCACTGTGAAGCTCTGGAGGAGCGTCGAGCAGCTCAAACATGTCATCGATGACTTGCCACAGGCAGTTCTCCAGAGGGAAGTCATTGTCCACCAAATTGACGAGGAAGTAATTGTCATGGATATATTTAATTATCATCCGAGAAGGAGACTCGTCTTCATAGAGTTTGCCCCACTGCTCAATCCACAAGGCAAACGCCTCATCCTGAGAAGATATGAGAACATCTGGGTCAACACAACATGCCAGAGCTTTTACATCACACTGCACTCTGTCTTTAAAGTTAAAGATTATACAAAAATACAGAGAAAACAAACAATCAGATAAGCCCGTATGAGCGAGCAGCTAGTGACAGTGGGAAGGAAAAACTCCCTTTTAACAGGAAGAAACCTCCAGCAGTACCAGCAGCAAGGAGGGGCGGGGCCATCTGCTGCGACCGCTTGGAGCTGGTTCCAGAGCTCCGCCTCCTACTCTACCATTAAACGCAGTCATACTTTATTATTACCCCTTTAAACCTTAAATATTTCAGTCATTTAAAAACACGACACAAGGTTTAACATTCCCCAAACTGTGGACAGAAAGAAGACAGTGTCTCACCTTCCAGTACATGAAACTAACTGGGTCCACTACAGTCGGCTGAACAATCTCCCTTCCGGCGAAGATCCCCCAAGTCACAGCATTTGGTTGCATTTCAGGGGCGTTGGTCAGGTTACGGCCCTGCATGCAAAATGTTCACCATGACCAATGTTTACACACACACAACCATGGAGTGACTGATGCTTTGTGAACAAACTTACATTCACATTAACAATGTGATAATTCACACGGGGCTCGTACTTCTTCAGTACTTTAAGAAGAGCGGTCACATTTTCACTGGAGGTGAAAAACTCCAGATAGGCCTGTCGGTTGAATAACATCCATATTAACAATAGCAGACTCTGAGTATCCCATCTGAAGGTACTGAAAATACTGTTAGTGTTTGTACCTTCTGGAAGACATAGCCCCCTGGAGGTCCCCAGCCCACAATGGGGTCTGTGGAGGGTTTGCCATTGATGTTGGGCTGAGAATTGATGGTGAGGACTCCTCGCCTGTTCACTTTCTCCAGTTCATCCTTCAGAAGGTTGGTCTCTGGGGCCAGAGGCTCGTCATTCCAAGGCAAACACATCACCTACAGCAGAAGAGAAAGCCTTAGCCTGCTGTTACTGCTGCTATATACAGAAGACTTGCTGTGGAAGAACGAGTGGCTACGTGGGGTATGGTTAAAAACAAAAACCTGTTCTCAGAGTGAGTGTCAGTGTTTCCAGTGCACTCAGGACAGGATTCATTTAAACAGAGTAACAATGGCACACCAGCCAACCACAAGGTTAGTTTTCACACTTGACTTATCTAATTTAGCTGGAACATACAGTAGACAACAGCTTTGTATACTTAAACCAAGGACAGATATAGGAAATCTGTGGTGCCACAGGCTGGGAAAGCTACGAGTGACCGAGCTCCGTGGTTCATCCTGGATACCTTGTGTCCGCAGCGATTTGGCTGAGCTGTAATGTAGCAGGTAAAGACTTCGAAGACGCTCTCCTCATTTTGTAGCTCTTCACCCCACATTTTCAGCAGTGCATCTTTAGATGATTTGCTCTTCAGGTAGAACAGGTAATAATCATTCAACTCCCCAAAAGCTGGAGACGAGGAATTTCCCCTGAGGACGAAAACAAGACTCTGAGCTAAAGTTCAATAAAAGCTGAACGAGGTTCCAGAAAGTGATTAGATTAAAAAAAAAACAAAAAAAAAAACAAGAAACAATAATAATACAATTTAACGCGTGTGCACATTTCATAGTGTCAATGTGAGCGCTCGAGCAGAGTAGGAAACAACCAGTCCATCTGAAGAATGAGTCACATATTTAACCTCCTAGGACCTGGCGTCCACATATGTAGGAATCACATTTTTGGTTGTCTAGACCAAAATACTAAATTTTGCTCTACAAGGGCCTGATATCCACTTACGAGGACATTATACTGCCTCTGTTCTATTGAAATTTTAAACAAGTATCCTCATATGTGGATCTCATTTCTTAGAAACAAAATCAGGTTTAAAAAAAGTTAACTCTTTGTTTTTACATTCATCAGGTCCCAATCAGCCCAAATATCAAAGATAAATTAAAAATGCATGCTATGAAAGCGTTTGTGTCTTAGGAGGTTAAAGGAGAAATGCATAAACAAGCAAGCAACAGGGTCTTCTGATGGTGAGCTTTTGAGCAACAGCGAGCCTAAAACCTGCATCATACTTCCCACGTCTGCCAGTCTGCCAGGGTCCACTCAGCTCAGAGTGATGGCAGTTTTCTTGTTAACACACAGTGAATACAATGGTCATGAGGACATCAGTGTGTTTGCCGGTTTAATACCGAAAAAGAAAAACTGCAGCTACAAGAACACACATTAGAAAACTTATCACATAGAACAGCTGTTAATGTAACTCCAGTATGCACTTAACAGAGTCAAAGGCTGGAGATGAAGGATGATCCCTGTGGACAACAGCACGACTCACAACTCGTATGCAAGTTCTTACATACACTTATGCAATAATTTGCATAAATTGAGGCATTCAACAAGAACAGCCCTCATTTAATGTCTGAAATGCAACAATGAGGACATCGTGATAAATGAACCCTACCATCTGCCATTGGGGAAGTCGTCCCAGTCCTGGGTTCTGTAGATGTAGCTCTTGGGCCTGGAAGCCCAGAAGATGGGTCGAACATCTTCTACCTTCCGTTTGGGATGGGCGCTCACTGCCCAGGGCAGAGGCCGCCTGGCACAGAAACACACTGTCAGCCTCTACAGCACTCTCTCAGGGCAGGAAAAGAAATAAAGGCCTGCTCTACAAAAGACACTGCTCAGTGAAATGAAGCAAATACTTTGGTCACTACTTTGATCACACATGAGTTCTTGATGAACGAAGCATTCAAGCTGAAATACTTTACTCATGTAACACTGTAATGTAATGATAATAAAATTGTCAGTGGAGATGTAATAATCAACCTTTTAAGCAGATTCAAAATTACACCTAAATTGGAGTTAGAACTTACAGTTTGATTCAACACAGTGTTAGCATGTCAACATGTGTCATGAAAGTTGGTGTGAGGCAGTAATGTTTATGGGAATCTCCTCCCAGACTTTGAAAAAGGCATCAGTGAGCTCCTGAACAGTTAATACAACCATCGGCAGATCTGCAACTTGAGCAAATCTCACTGTGGAATCAAATTCCACCCAAGATGACTGGTATAATATCCTATTAGAGCGATTAGAACATGCTGGTAGGTATTACAGGTACTGCGCTGCAGTGGTTTGTATCATATCTATCTAATAGACTCAGATTTGTTCATGTAAATGGAGAGTCCTCTTCACACACTGAGGTTAATTATGGTGTTCCACAGGGTTCAGTGCTAGGACCAATTCTGTTTATATACATGCTTCCCTTAGGCAGTACTATCAGAAGACATAGCATACATTTTCACTGCTATGCTGATGACACCCAGCTCTATCTGTCCATGAAGCCAGATGACACACACCAATTAGTTAAACTGCAGGAATGTCTTAAAGACATAAAGACCTGGATGGCTGCTAACTTTCTGCTTCTTAATTCAGATAAAACTGAGGTTATTGTACTCGGCCCTGAAAAGCTTAGAAATATGGTATCTAACCAGATTCTTACTCTGGATGGCATTACCTTGGCCTCCAGTAACACTGTGAGGAACCTTGGAGTCATTTTTGACCAGGACATGTCCTTCAATGCACATATTAAAAAAAATATGTAGGACTGCTTTCTTCCATTTGCGCAACATCTCTAAAATTAGAAATATCCTGTCTCAGAGTGACGCTGAAAAACTAGTTCATGCATTTATTACTTCCAGGCTGGACTAGTGTAATTCATTATTATCAGGAAGTCCTAAAAACTCCCTGAAAGCCTTCAGCTAATCCAAAATGCTGCAGCAAGAGTCCTGACAGGGACTAGAAAGAGAGAGCATATTTCTCCTGTATTGGCTTCCCTTCATTGGCTCCCTGTTAAATCCAGAATTGAATTCAAAATCCTGCTCCTCACATACAAGGTCTTAAATAATCAGGCCCCATCTTATCTTAATGACCTTGTAGTACCATATCACCCTATTAGAGCACTTCGCTCTCGCTCTGCAGAACTACTTGTTGTTCCTAGAGTATTTAAAAGTAGAATGGGAGGCAGAGCCTTCAGTTTTCAGGCCCCTCTTCTGTGGAACCAGCTTCCAGTTTGGATTCAGGAGACAGACACTATCTCTACTTTCAAGATTAGGCTTAAAACTTGCCTTTTTGCTAAAGCATATAGATAGGGAGGATTCAGGGTCACCTGGCCCAGCCCTTAGTTATGCTGCAATAGACGTAGGCTGCCGGGGATTTCCATGATGCATTGAGTGTTTCCTTTCCAGTCACCTTTCTCACTCACTATGTGTTAATAGACCTCTCTGCACTGAATCATATCTGTTATTAATCCCCGTCCGTCTTCCACAGCATGTCTTTATCCTGTCTTCCTTCTCTCACCCCAACCAATCACAGCAGATGGCCGCCCCTCCCTGAGCCTGGTTCTGCCAGAGGTTTCTTCTTGTTAAAAGGGAGTTTTTCCGTCCCACTGTCGCCAAAGTGCTTGCTCATAGGGGGTCATATGATTGTTGGGTTTTCTCTGTTGTATTATTGTAGGGTCTACCTTACAATATAAAGCGCCTTGAGGCGACTGTTGCTGTGATTTGGTGCTATATAAATAAAACTGAATTGAATTGGTGAACACTGAGGAACCCAGCATGCCATAATCATCATTTTACGTGACTGGAGGCCTCTCACATAAATCATCACTTTAAACAGATGACATCATCTTGCAAACCCCGTCTCGGCAATTCTCAACACACCAACTCGATTTGGGAAACTCTCAGGACACAAAATTAATTTTAGTATATTATTATTATTTATTTATCATATTACAGGCCCAAACGTGTCATATCGCATAGACGAGGATCTGTCTGACAGAGGTGAAGTATGGCTGCGAGTCGAAAAGGCAAGATAGTAATGTGCTTTGGGGAGTCTATCGCCATATCCTCTCATTATACCCACATGGTCAGGGTTTGATTTCCAGTCTTTAAAGTAGTAAATGCAGCATCATTCCAGACTCCTTACAAGCACGTGTCAAACTCCAGGCCGAAATCATTTTATACAGATTTATTATTAGTGTTATGCATGGTGATATGAGGTGCTAATAACACAGAAACTACAGATCCCATAATGCAGCGCTGCAGCCTCCTTGCCGAACGCTAGGCTAACTGGGAACATTCCTGCGTCAATCAAGTCAAACTTCTGTTATTACAAAGCTAGCCACTCACAATGGCGAAGCGAAAAGTTGATTCTGAAAGCAGAGCCTTTCAGCACCGGTGGGAGGCTGAATATATGTTTACAGACATTGCTGGTAACCCCGTGTGTCTTATTAGTGGAGCTAATATGCTGTAATTAAAGAATTTAATTTAAGACGGCACTATGACAAAAAACATCAGGATTAGCTGAAAAACCTAAATGCAGAAACTACAGAAGGTAGAAGAGCTAAAGAAGAATCTAACATTTCACCAGAGAAAAATCACAAAGTGAAGCTGTTGTGAAAGCAAGTTTTATTGTAGCAGAGGAGATAGCCAAATCAGCCCGGCCATTTATGACTCTGAAGAGCTGCATGATGAAGCTGTGCGACGTCATGTGTCCAGACAAAACGCAGATTTTGGCAAATGTGAGCCTGAGCAGAAACGTATGTCAAAGTGTAACCGACATTAGGGCTGGGCCATATTATACCGTTCACGGTAATACCGGTATAATGTTAGGCAACGATAGGAAAATGAAATATCGCGATAGAATATGAGTAAAACGCGAATGCGCAGTGCCTTTGTTTTCATACGCACATGGCCGATTGTTGAGTGAAACAGATGAACCAGAACTGGTTTGTAAAAATGGTGCAACTTCAGTGATGTGGAACTGGTTTGGTGTTTGTCCACAAAGCACATTTTTTTGCAGAACATGCAAGCGGCCGTCGGACTAAGATGCCCTTAAATCTGGGAGTAATCTGGGTCCTAAACTCCGTCTTTTTCAGGTCAAACGAACACTGCAGCATCACTAAGAGTTAACTGTCTAAATTCTTTCATCTTTAATAAAACGATCAGCATTGCTGCTTTACCAGGTGTAACTATGAAGTTTAACTTCCAGGCATCCATGAAAACAAAATGTATTACATTTAACGGAGTTAGAAGCTAGCAGGAAGCTAGCGGAAGTTAGCTCGCTAGTTACCTAAGCATGATATTGCATGTTCTGACTGAGAGATTTCTGAAAAAAAATCAAACGTACAGCTCTGCTATCACTTCCAACATAAATGAAGACAGGAAACTAAACAGCAGTGACGTTTGTAGGGTTACTGAAGTTGGGCTAGCTGGTATATAATGATGTGCTACGTGATCGCTAGCGACACAGCTATGTTAGCATAACATAAACAGTGAAGCTGGAGGACGAACACTAACACTTTTCCACTTATAAAAGTTAACGTTAAGGTTCCTCATGGTTAGAGACAAATGCAATCGCATGGCAGGATGCTGTAAAAAGGACCAATCTTCAGTCAGGAGAACAACTGAGATAATCCATCCACAATACGAGGTTAGTCATTAATATACTGCAACAACATGGGAATAGAGCCGCTGCCAGAGAATTCAACATTAATGAATCAATGGTACAGAAGTGGAGGAAGCAAGAAGAATGAGTTTAATAAAGTTTGATTTATCTGACTGCTTTGTTTCGCTTAATGTGCCTTATAATCCCGTGCACCTTATGGTCCGAAAAATACGTACTGCACACTGCAGTTTAATGTTGCAAAGCACCTCTTTTTAACTTCAGTGGATATTATACATGGTTATGCTCAGGATATGTCAGCCCATTTCTACTGGAAATGCCTTTTGGTTAAACTTTCAGCAAGGAATTTGCATTTGCACTGTTACATTTTTATAAAGCTTTAATGTACATAAAAACCAGCTTCTTGTTTAAGTGAAAATAAATGATAGGTTGTCTTTTTGCGCTAGTAATGTTGTGGAGTTGTATTTTGTCACGCATCAATTATATCGTCAGTTATATCGTTATCGCAAATCTTCAAATATATATCGTGATAAATATTTTTGGCCATATCGCCCTGCTCTAACCGACATGAAACTGCCCCGGGACAAACAACAGATCGAGCGCCGGTGTTGTCGTCAGGATGCGAGTAAAGATGCAGGAGAACTGTATCGGCGAGTTAACAGCATACTGCATCACACACCAGGAAAGGCTGTGTGGTAAAGTCCTAAAAATGGAGCATGTAATGATCACCGTAACGCAAACCGTAAATTTTATCTGAGCTAAAAGTTTAAATCACCGTCAATTTCAGTCTTTTATGTGGGAAATAGATTCAGAGTTTGCTGACATTCCTCATCATACAGAGGTCCGTTGGCTGAGTTGGGGAAAAGTTCTCAATAGAGTTTTTGAGCTCAGCAAGGAAATCTGTCAGTTCATGGACATGTATGATGTGGTGAAGGCATTTCAAGTGAAGCTGTCACAAATGCACCAGTGCAACCTGCCCCACTTTCCCTGTTGCCAAGTAACGTTGAACCAAGTCAGCGGACTTTGCTGATAAACTGAGCGCACTGCGCACGCCCGGCGCTTTGGTGACTTTGAAGCACAAAAAGAGAATTTTGAGCTGCTTCGCAACTCATTTACGTGGAAACTGCACCTGTGCAGATTCAGATGGAGCTGCAGTGTAATGATACACTCAAGGCAAAGTACGACACTGGATGGCCCGCACAGTTTATTAGTTCCATTCCTGAAGCAATGCCCCAGCTCCATCTACATGCGGCTCCAACCTTGTATATGCTTTCATTTATTTTTTCTGTGGTTTTTGGCAGCATGTTCATATTTCTAACTTAGAATCGGAGTTAATATTGTGTGGAGATGGTTGACGAAACTACATTTTCTTATTAAACTCGACTGAATCTCACTTTTGCTCAAAGCACTGGTGTTTGATTGACTGACCTGGGGTCTTCTATCCACAGGCCCAGCTGTCGAAGCACCTCCATGGTCGCAACTTCACGGTTCAGTGTGTAAAAGTGGACACCTGGCACCTTGCCACTATCCAGCAGCACACGGCACATCTCCACTGCTTGCTGTATCCCATAATTACGGATAGCAGCATCGTTGTCTTTGATAGGCTCGATGACTTGGGTGATCTCCTCTGGGACCTCAAGCTTGGAGAGCTTGACAAGCTGACGCAGAGACTGGTAACCCTGAACAACATGAACACACGAAAGTTGAGATCCACTCCTGTGCAGCTCTAACAGAACTTACTGTTATCCAGCAGCTTTACGTGTGGTCAGGACGCACTGCTGTCACTGTGAGACTGCTAATGCTACAATGTCTGTCTGAAACATTAGCTCCATCGAGTCGTCTTTCCCTGTGTGGAAGGCAAAAGGGAAATCTGGACCATGACGAGTACATTTAACACTCTTTAGTATCACTGCAACCAGCTACCCCTTTGACTGCTCCATGGTTCAGATGACGAAAGAGGAAAGCACAATCACAGGGAGTGTAAAGAGTAACAGAACACAACACTATCACTTCAAAGAGGAGAAAATTGCTTTGAAGATAAAGATAAGAGGATTCCTGTTCCTAGAAGAACTTAGTTACCTGAATGGGGAAGATTCCTGGTAAGATGGGACATGTGATGCCAATGGCTCTGCAATCATCCAGGAACTTGAGGAAAGTGTCGGGCCTGAAGAACAGCTGGGTGATGACAAAGTCTGCTCCAGCATCCACTTTCTCCTTCAGGTGCCTGAGATCAGCTTCATAGCTCTCTGCTTCAGGGTGGCCTGTGGGGTAGCCTGGACACACACATTTAAATTAGCGACAATCCACTCAAACTGCATCCTGCTGACCTCGACGGTGAGAACATACCAGCGACGCAGATGTCAAAGTAGTCATCAAACTCTGAGCGGATATGTTTGACAAGGTCGATGGCATAGTTGAAACCATCCTCCTCTTCCTCCCAATCTTCTCCTATTGGGTCTGTGAAGATATTTGGCACATGCCTAAGGTTTAAAAACATGCACAGCTGGATGAGACAGGTCGCATCCTTGTACAACAAACTAGATGAGCTTTGAGCGCCGATTAAAACAAAGAGGGAGATCCATTAGTTTGTATGAATCGGGGAAAGTGCAGCTGAATCGAGGACGTGTTACGGTGAAGGAACGTCTCCACAGATTGGGAAGCATTAGCAGTGGGAATGCATCGATTTTAATTGCCAAAGAAAAACTCGTCCGTCAGCGATCAGATTGTTGACATTCAGCCATCAGCTGATTCAGATGTAGCGTGTGACATCACTCGCTGCATGTAGCATGCCTGCTAACGCAGCATTTAAGTGCTTTTATGGTTGTGACCGATGATTTTAACAAAGTGTCACAGAACATTACAAACAGGACATAAACTGTCCGCCTCTGCAGAGCACTGCTCGTGCATGCGGCGCTGTGTTAACAGTCCATTGTAATGTCTTGATGGATGTTCAGTCATCCAGGTAAAGAAATCCCAAAAGTTGATTCTGTTCATCTGGACGTTTTCAGTGGGAGAAACGTGTCGTCACTCATCCAGGTGACTTCTTCAGTCTCAGCTGACTGTAGGTTTCCAACCTTATAAACATAATGATCATTTGCCTGAACTGAAACTAGCACCACTGAAGGAACAATGGGCCGGGATGTCAGTTCCTTAATCATAATTATGCAAATTCTCATGAGCATTGATCAGCAACCATCAGGCCAGGACTCTGCAGTCTATTTACACCTACAGGCCAGAGGACACTCTTTCAATGATGAGGATGAACACATCCTGGACAGGGAGGAATGCTGGTTTGAGGGCGGAGTCAAGGAGGCCATTTACGTGAAAAGGGAAAGACCATCTCTGAATGGAGGAGGGGGTCTAAGGGTACATCTGTCACCATCTTACAATGCTGTGATAGCTGCCATTCACCAACTCTGTGAATCATACTCATGACCACTGATCAGTGGCTGTTGATCAATGGTCATGAGAATTTGCATAATAATGATTAAGGGACTGACCTCACAGCCCATTGTTCCTTCAGTGGGCTGGTTTTAGTCATTATGCAAATGTACTGTTTATAAGATTGGGGAAACCTTCAGCTGAGACTGAAGAAGTCACCTGGATGAGTGATGAAACGTTTCTCCCACTGAAAACGTCCAGATGAACAGAATCAGTGTTTGGAGAGTCCACTGTAACCCACGCCAGTGTGGAGAACACAGTCCACTGTTACACCGAGCAACTTCACGTCACCTGACATTTGTCTTTACTACATTTTTTTAAGCCATTCGAAATCATGCTGCTTGTTGATTTTCAAATATTTTTCTTGCTTGCAGTAAGACCAAAGTAAAGGAAAAAGTAGGTCTGACATTGTGTTTCTAATTCTCATCTCAGAAGCTGAATGATCTGGAATATTTCAGAGCACAAACGCTGCAGCAGGATGTCTCCATCAGGTTTTACATTTGCAGTTTATTAGGAGTTTTTTTTTCTTTTTTTCCCTTTTAAATAAATGGTACATCCTGAGAGATTTAGTACATCACAGGCTGTACAGAAAAATGGATGATTCCATTAATAATGCATTTAATTTACGAGTACGAGTGTTGTTGGCGTGCTGCTGTGTGAAGACATGATAAAAATACTCGACAGCCAGTGCTACCCTTCAGTGGGTACGCCTCTCTAAATCCCACATCCTCTTGTTCTCGAGTTATTGCATTCACAGGATGACAATGCCCCATCAACCTTTATGGCTGCTGAGCTGCTGCAGCCCAGGAAGTACAGCGGATCATCTAATGACTGAAAGGTTGATGGTTTGATCCCTGGCTCATACTAACCCCAAGCTGCTCTCCGGTTTATCTGTTGGAGAGTAAGTGTTAAACAGAAGAGTGCTGGTATGGCTACCATCAGCATTACCTCCTCTTAGTGCCATGATATTCTTCAGGCCCAGGTGCTTTGCTTTTGCCAAGTAGCCAGTGATTTTCTCTTTGCTTTGATTGCAGCAGGTTAGGTGGAGGATGCTCTCCAGGCCACAATAGTTGACAGCTGTGCTAGCAATCATCATGGATGAAGTTTCCTTGTCTGAACCCGGGTCGCCTGCTGGGTGCCAGGTAATGTCGATGAACAGGGGCCCACCAGAGCCCATACGGTCAAACCTGTAGAAAAAACACAAAGGCACACTCAAACCAGGGGTGGGAGTGAGGTAGTAAAGATGAACACATACATAACAACTACAATCTGGACTTGAGGGCTGGGAGCCAAACCGGGACACGTTTTCCCAGATGGGCTCAGTAAGGTGTTTTCAGTTTTGCAGATAAGATCATAGTGTGTACAGTGTTATGTTTCATGAAGCTTTTATTGTCACACATTTGAGGACGTCTGCTGTGGAAAATTCATATCAATGTTTGTACTTTTTTGGTGGATTGTTAATTAGTCTGTGTTGGTCTGCGTGTTGGGTTTATTAGTCTACCAAGAACTGGATGTGCTCCAGACAGTGAAGAACACTGTTTTGTGTCTTAGAGTTCCCTGGATACATATCAGAGAGATCACATACTTCATAACAGAACAGCTGTCAAATTGCAACCTTCTGTTGATTTTGCTCATAAAAAGGATTTTTGTGATTAAGTTAAAGAAGGCATGAAAAGGTCCCAATCGCGAAATCGGTCAATTTTATAAGCATTAGAATAAACATCCTGAGATAGTGGATGCTGCCTGTGGACCAAAACATGAGTTAAAATAAATAAATAAATAAATAAAAGCAGGACTGACCGCCATCATGACTTTTTGGGATATGTTACTGCCAGAGTCTGTCACTTCTACTGGATCCCCCCCTACACACACACACTATCATCTCTCCTGTTGCTATACATAGCCCTACTAGCACACTCCTGCCTTTCCTTGTCCCTCTTCAGTTCCCATCTGCACCACCAACAGCCCCACCAGCGGTCGCTGTTAACCCAGGGACGTCTCATTCTTGATGCGTCCCGTTTAAGTTCACATACCGTGATATGAGGTTAACAGCCCCACTGGCTGTGCGTGGAGGGAAGAACTCCAACGAGAACCAGCGGTCTCCGGACTCCATCCTTCTGCGCATCTTGTCCCGCAATCTGTCCGACCGGTACGCATCCAGCACCGGCGTGGAGCACCGGGAGCTCTCCTTGGAGCTGTCCCCGCCACTGTTGCTGGCCCCGCTGGAGTCGCTCTTGCACTGGCAGGTGCCATCCCCTCGCTGAACCTGGTTCACCATGACTGTAACTTACACTGGGAAGAAGAACAGATACGGCGGTGTGTTCAGATTTAATGTTGCCTGCATGAGAAAACGTGTTAAAGCACAACTTTAGCTAAATGTTCTCCACGAAACTTTTCCACATCCCGCATATAACAGCTGTTTCGGACTGACCACTATAGCAGGCAGCACGGCACTCACACACTCCTACCTCTGACCCTTTACATCACGGGTTAATTATGGTCTGACTGAATGGTGACCGACGGCTGTGATAACGTCGGTTGCTTAACAGCGACGCGAGCGGCTCGTTATAGCTCTTGCGCGCACGCGCTGCTTAAGCTAGCTGTCCGGGCTCAGCACGTGCTCAGGCTGCATTCACACGTAAACGCAGAATCGACACATCGAGTCAACCGAGTGCGCCTAACGCCATCGTGCTGGACTGATTTACACTGGTGCAATGTGCAGATAGTTTATACCACCTCCTCGGTCCTGCTGCCTTTATGCCCCTGAGCTCCCATTCGTCCACAGCCACAAAAATAAGCACTGCTACAGCTGCTGCGAACTTTACGCTAAACTGCTTCCTCTTTGGAGTTTTCCAACAGTTTGCATCCTTTACAGTTGCAATACTGCCCCCTTCTGTTCTTAGTGCTCATTCTCCAAATGGTCTGCAACACAAAGCGCTCTTCTGAATCAGAATTCTGCTACACGATTTGGTCTTTCGTGTAATTATCAGCTTTATGTTGATCTTTCCAGATTCTGCTGCCTCCTTTCGATTGATCCCATCCTCCTCCTCCTCTCCACATGCCCTCCTTCACTACATCCGAACTTTCAGAGGTCTTCCTCTGTCCCTCCTGCCTGGCAGCTGTCACGTATCCTCTCTGCACGTGTCCAAACAATCTCAGCCTTGCATCTCTAACGTTGTCTCCACTGGCAGCTAAGGAGAAGAGGCTGAGGAAGAATCAGTAAGGGCCAGCTCGTCAGTTAAGGACTGAGTGAGACACGGGTGGAGTGGAGGATTTACCCAGAGGACAGGTGCATTATTACAAATGATCCCACTGCATAAACTAGAATGTGTGACACCTGACCGTGGGCTGTGTGGAAGCACACCAAACATCATTTCCTATCCCGAGCCCTCTGTCCTATGTGCTTAAACGCGCGTGTTATTTATGGTCCTGTCACATCATCAGCTGTGGCATGTAGGCTCAGACACGGAGAAGCTCATAATCGCTGTGTACTGAGAAAAGACGTACATACCTGCAGAGACACCACAAGAACCCGAAACACACTTCCTCCTGCTGGGCTTCAATACAACACGGGAGGCCTGTGACCCTTTACTGGGATCAGTGAATCTCCTTTTATTACCACGTTAACGTCCCCACAGTGCCGTTGGGACTGCGGCACCTCTCCATGGCTGATGGGCTCAGCCTATCAGGCCTGGTTGTTGCTGGTACTGCTGTCCACGGTGCAGCAGCAGCCACCCGACAGCTAAAGTGGCGCTTAATTGGACACATACAAACAAACAAATGTGTGTGTGCTTTTTTTCAGGTTCTGCCGTTAATAATCTTATAAATCGCCCTGGTGTGTTTCATTGTAATATTCTCCTCCCGAATAATATCCGTGTCTGCGCCTCTCTGTCGTAAAACTGACGCTGCGTGTCTTCTTAAACCCGAGCGGGAGTTTTTAAAAAGGCTCCCGCTGTCGTGTTAGTAACAGCAGATGACGCCATTATAGATTAGAGTCACAGGAGAGCCACAGCAGGCAACCAAGACACTTTTAAAGTGAGCCTATGAAGCTGCAGCGTTTAGTTTAAATCTGTGCCGTTCGACTCTGAAGTCTGTCGCAAATCCATCACACGGCTACCACAGACGAACAGTCGCAAAACGTTCATATTCAGTATGGCCAGTTCTGTGTACTGTCTGTTACACAGCAGACATCAAATATCCGAGGTTGGCACTTTAAGAGGAACTGTCACTTTCTAATTTTCTACGGGAAGCAAACGCAACATTGTCCTCACGCGAGACTTGCGTTGTTGCGTTTACTTGTCATCGGAAATCCGCAACTCAAACTTACTTGGAACGTTATTTGTTATGAATACATTTTAAAAATGTAAAACGTTAGAATTCAGCTATATTCAGATATGTTCGGTTATTTTCTCCGTTCTTTGTTTTACATTGTTTATTCTACTGTATTTTCAAAGTCGTCTAAAACAACCTTTACTTTTTATGACAGCCCCTGAATACAGCATGACACAACAACGAAAATGGCGTGCTGTGGAAGATGTTTTTGTTGCCAGTGTTGTTGTAGAGAGGGAGAGACACGGACCCCAGAAGAGCTGGTAAAGAAAGACGTGATAACAAGCACAGGAAGCATCATCTGCTTATGTTGTGTTTACTTTGGGGTTCTTAGGATTTCCTCTGAGCTATTCTAAGCGCTTTATTCTGGCTGAGCTGCTCCACCCCGCTGCTCACTATGTTCTCTTGTCTTGGTTCTTTTGCAGGAAAGCGAGGAATACTTATTAATGCACATTATGAATGTATAGTCGTTAAGTCAGCTGTAATATTGCTGTTTACAGAAGAGAGAGCTTCCCGTTTTTCCGTGTGACGATATAGTCCGTGGACCAAACTCCATTTATAATTTCCTCAGATTAAGCAATCTTCTTATTTTAATCAATTTAATCTCTGCCTCATTTCATATGGTTTTAATCTTTCAGTAGGTGTGGGAAGCTATTGTGCAATGCGGCGTGTTTGTCGCGTGGAAAATAACCTCTTTCTATTTATTTCCCCACATTTTGAATGTTGTGATTACACCAAGCAAAGGCGTAGTCTTACAGGACCTCCGAGAAGTATACTGCGAAGGCAGTATGGACATAGCCCGGCTTTATTTGCGTTAGTTAAACATGTAACCTGGAGTTTGTGCATTGACTTGAACGCTGCTCTTAAGTAAAGCTGTGTAATTCTAACGGGACAGCTTGACATGAAAGCTCTGAAACTTTCAACTACATACATTTAAAAAGTAAAGGTTACTAATCGCTGTAGTTTGTAACCACAGCAGAGTAAATGGAGTTTATTGATGGACTAGGAGACCTACTGTGGAGACAATTACCTTCCAACTGTAACTGTTCTAGTTCCACAATGTAAAACAGATTTAGATCAGATTACAACCAAATATAAAAACTTTCATTGATTTTCTGTATTGACAGTTTAATATATGCAAATTCCAGCAACAGTGCTGCTTATGTCTTCATTTTGTGGTTTCACTGAGGCACAGCTTCACATGTTGCACATATAAAACATATTCCATGTCTAAGAATCTGTGAACAAACTGTTGCTTCTCGCTGGTTTTAAACCATAAGTCTGAGCATCACTTCCTACAGGAACTAAGTGTGTCCAGTGTTGGATGCTTTGGATGGTGGTGCAGGAGTCAAGTACTAATTCCACACTCATTTCTTTGTTTATTTCCTCTATTTATTTGTTATTTATTATTTTTTCCAACATGCAGGCGCACACATTTAGCTGAACTTTTAGTAGGAAGCTTAATTTGTGGTCAAATATCCTTGTGTGTATATGTAAATACATACATAATTATTATTGTTATTTGTTTGTTTGTGTGTTTGTTTGTTTACCCCCCAGACAATCCTTGGGGAAATCCCAGACGAGGAACAGATTCTACCCAGGAAAGACTATGAGGTGAGACTTGCTGGAGAAAGCCTTCAAAGAGATATTATATTATGTGTTTAGAGCAGAAATGCCAGAGCAGATTAATTTTTTTCAGTACTGGACACAATCGATGTGTGAGGCAGGAAATAGTCACACAGTGTTTTGTGTCCACAGAGCTTGGATTATGACCGCTGCATCAGTGAGCCTTATGTGGAGGTCCTGGAGGGGATGGACAACAAGGTAAGACAGGTTAAATGTGTCATCTGCTCCTGTGTGGATGACGCCTGTGCAAAGGCTGTCACCGATGCACGTTTATTGTTTTACATCACATGATGAGATCACTGATAGTAGGACTTGTGCCAGCAGCTGATCTGTTAAACTGTATGTGATCTGTATTAAAGTTGATGTTCCACAAAGCTCTGTGTTTTTAATCTTGATCAGTGTTACTAATCAGCTTTTCATATTTGATTGCACAGACACACAGAAACCACTCTATTATAAATATTGAGCTAGCTCAAATATTTTAATATTAATTTGAACAAACCTCCTTTTAAAAATGTTTCCTATTTTCTAAAAGTTGTGAATGATTCATTATCAGATTAAGGAAACATTTTCTATGCAGTGTTATGTTAGAACAGGTCACGTGGGATCTGTCCACTTTATTGGGGCAGATCTCAAAATCCAAAGAAATATGACTGTAACAGTAGTTTGAATCTAGAAGTCACGTGGATCGTTGATGGATTTAAACTTAGACAGCATCACGATCTTTTAGCCTCCATTTAATCAAAGTTTCTGTAACATGTCACGGTCACTGCAGTGATAATAACAGTGTTCCAGGAATTAGGAAACACAGCAGAGAACAGCACTCACCTACAGCTGGGAGGAGGTCAGGGATGAAAGCAGCAGGGCCGTTAGGATACTGTCAGACAGTACTGCTACACATGGCCACAAGAATATCAATGAAGACTCTGAAGAATTACTGTGAATTATTTGTCAGCATTACGTTTCCATTTATCCAGTCATAGAGATATTGATGCGACTGCCCTGGAGTGCCACTGTTACGCCACCATACCTGCAAACGTTCTAGAGCTACGTCATTGTCACCAAGCTTTATTCTTCAGCCCTACATTCGATGTATGAGGCATATACAGATGGCAGCATTTGTATACAGATCATTGAAAGTCCTGCGGGCTGTACTACGAAGCACGATTAGCATGGTTAGCTAAAGTTAGAGGGGTTTTCTGTATCACTACAGTGGCTCTCTTTTTACCTGCTAAACCACTATAGTAGCTTATGCTGAACACAGCCTGGTGACAGGGAGGTTCTGTTCCACGTCTCCATCACTTTTATTTACAGCATTTTTAATCCTGTATAGATTCAATGCTGGGGGAATACATTTAGTATGTGGAGCTTGTGAACTCTCACTAAAACCACAGAATAAAGCACAAACTGTGCGACTGGGAACGTGTGTGTATTATTCATCCAACGCAGAAATGTTTTTAGACTCTTTTTAGTCTCTTATATATGAGAGAAAAAAACTGTTTTTTATTTTCTTGTCTGCCAACAGAAAGCCAAAAAATATGAGGCGGTGCATTGGATGATGGTGTTTGCGATCGGGGTCACAGTGGGCCTGGTAAGGTGCATTCTGGGTCTTCTTTTTGTTTTGCTGGATTTCAGCTGCTCAATAAGAAACGTTGCTCTCTTTCAGCTGGGCCTGTTTGTGGATTTTTTCGTACGCCTCTTCAACAAACTAAAGTTTACTGTGGTTGGTGATTGTATCCTTTAACATGACTCTGTACGTGGAGGATGGGCAGATACCAAAGCAGCTAAATATTGGGCAGAAATGTTGTGCCTTAGAAGATCCTCGCACAGAAGGAGAGCATTTGTAAAGTTGCACAAAATATTGCATTATTTCCTTCAGAGATTGCTGACAGCAGGTGCGCATTTTTATGCCCTTTTTCTTTTGTGTTTGTTTGAACATTGTCCAGAGTTGGTCCAAACAAATGTCAGGTCTATCTTTTTGTTCTAGAAAGAATTCAGAGTGCGTTCATATGATGCAGATGCTGTAATAATAGTGTGAAGTAATGTTTGGTTCATCCTGTGCTGTATATGTGTGTTTTCATGCCTGGGTTTGATCCCTTCGCTAGTATCTGTCATATGGTTTCTATTTACTGCCTGACTCTTCATCTAAAGAGTGTTACTGTGTGTAACCACACTTTGTTTGTTGATGTGGTGATTCTACTTTAACTGAAGCCTCCAGCTATAGAGAAGTGCAGTGACAAAGGCTGTCTGTCTTTGTCCTTGCTGGAGCTCCTGGCGTTCAACATGACCTTCGTCTTCATTGCCAGTGTACTCGTCCTCATCGAGGTAAACATCTCAGCTGCAGCTGACAAACTCAGGAAAGAACTCCTGCTTTAACAGTTAAAGTGTGCAAATTCTGCGGTCCTTGCATTTGAGACCTGTCTACCTGCATCTCTACCTGTCCAAGTTTGTTAACTGGTTGTAGCATGTTGTTTCATTCTGGTATGTTTGTGATAGTAGATTACACACTGACCTGCAGTATCGTGTTTTCAGCCTGTGGCTGCAGGATCAGGGATTCCAGAAATCAAAAGTTACTTGAACGGAGTGAAGATTCCTGGAATTGTTCGACTACGAACTTTTCTCTGCAAGGCTGCTGGAGTCCTGTTCAGTGTAGCTGGAGGTAAAGTGCGTTTGACTCCCTGACATTTACTGTACGGGGCGATTGTGGCTCAAGAGTTGGGAGTTCGCCTTGTAATCGGAAGGTTGCCGGTTCGAGCCCCGGCTCGGACAGTCTCGGTCGTTGTGTCCTTGGGCAAGACACTTCACCCGTTGCCTACTGGTGGTGGTCAGAGGGCCCGGTGGCGCCAGTGTCCGGCAGCCTCGCCTCTGTCAGTGCGCCCCAGGGTGGCTGTGGCTACAATGTAGCTTGCCATCACCAGTGTGTGAATGTGTGTGTGAATGGGTGGATGACTGGATATGTAAAGCGCTTTGGGGTCCTTAGGGACTAGTAAAGCGCTATATAAATACAGGCCATTTACCATTTACCCAATAATAATATTATCAACAACCCAGGGTAGATGCACACACACAACCTCCTCCTCCCTGGCTACTACTGTTGTTTCCTTCCTGGAGGCGCAGGGTAGACTCTGTGTAGAGTTTTCATGTTCTTGGGCTTGTTTCTGAAAGTTGTGTAAAATATGGACGTCACAGATGCCCTGCGGTATTCCCTGC